TGACTTGGAGTAATTTAGGAATGGATGACCTTCTAGGAAGTTTCTTAGAAAGTGTGCGAGTGAGAACAAAATACACTGAAAAGTCTTATGTTGGTTTGTGAGATCAGTCGTTGATCCTAAAAGTGCACGGACATCTCAGAAAGGGCTACCCATGAAGGGTTCTGACCAGTGAAGGGTTCTGACCAATAAGAAGTTGTGTTAAATATTATCGTGTGAAGTATCATGAAATGAAACCGTTGAGATATCAAATCTAAAGGATGTTACACACAACATAAAAATTTCAAATCTAACCTGCCAATTTTCTCCACAAGTAAATAAACTTACCTTTATGCTTTCCACCAAATTCACCTTCTAAGTGGATATTGTCCTCTTTAATCTATAAGATAAAAATAGAGTACATGTCAAATATACAGTTGCAAAACAAACCTTACCTTAAGCCTAGAATAAAATGCACAACTTAATTGTAATTTTCGAACTCCATGCACCACAAGCCACACCGAAACAATTTTTAGTCGAAGGCCTACAACACTAACAAATGGAAAATATATGCTACCCACAACCCATGCCAAATTGACCACCCATTTTGATTATTTCATCACTATCAAATTATCGACTCCTAGAACATCATCCACTAAGTAAACCCAAAGTGACCACACCAACTCCAGAAATCCATGCTCAAGTTATCGCTCCTCCAATAGTAGTGTTGTAAGTCTAACTTACTAAACCTCAAATGAAAAAAGAAGGGTCACTTAACATGAGTATATATTTGGTATTGCAAAATTAATAATAATTTATATTATTTAAAATTATTTAATACAAAGACTATTTTACAATTATAAACAAGTCACAAAACTCATTATTACTAGTTAAAAATCACTCTCATCGATATACCATCAACCTAAGTTTTTCACCTTAGAAGCGTTCTTCAAAAAGTCTGTTGATGTATCTTTCAAAAGTTCAACATCAAAAGGTTCTTAACGTGCTTAAATGAGACCATGCAGTTTCATGAATCAGACCCTTGTACTAGAATTGTGTTTACCCTTGATAACATTCAAAATAAAAACTGTCACATAATGCTTATAATTCATAACACTCGATAATGAGAATGAGCACTGTATTGTGTTTACGTGTGCATCCAAAGAACCTCTTATTTCTTCAAGCAAATTAAAATAATCAAATTAATGCTCCCTCTTGTACCTGTTGTCAAACTCAAATTCATTCTTAACACTTTAAAGTCATCTCTTTTCTCTTTATTTTATTTCCGTCGTCATATTGGTTATACTGATTTTCGATATATAGAACCTGACATTTCTTCTCATCTTATTTCACTTATTAATTTGAATATTTTGTAGTCAGATTAAAAACGAATACAACAACTTGGAATTCAAGAAGGTTGCGGGTTCCAACAAATTTCTTTTCTTCATCTCTTTATAGTCTTATTAAACCTTCCATGAATTAACCATCAACCACCTCCCCCCTCTAACCTACTACTTTAGTTATTGAAAACAATTTTGCTTTCTACTGACTATAATTCACCTCGTTAGTTAATGATCATCAAGTTTGTCATTATCCTAATTCACTCCTAATGATACTGTATAAAACATCAAAATTCATTAGAAAAATATTTTTTTTCTATTCATTATGTAATTGGTGCAAAATATTTATTGAATTATTGATGAGTAATTTTTACCAAAATAATTCGACTGATAGTTAAAGCAAATTACAGATAGAGATATTTTTTTCAGTGTTAGAAATCAGTTAGGAATAGAGGTAAATTTTATTTTTTTTAGCGATAAATTTTTTTATTCTGAGATGGAAATATATTAAATGTCGAAAATAGTGAGTATAATATATTTATATTTTTTATACATTAAAAAAAATAAGAGATGACACTTTCACAATTATTGGATAAAAAATAATAATATATTGGATCTTTAGATAAGTACCTTATTTACTTAATTGTTAGCTACTAAGTATAATAAAATTATATTAGAGATGAATATATATTAATAAAATAAAATATGAATGAATATATATTAAAAATAAATTCTGTGTTTTTTAGAAATAGAATTTATTATCCAGATATGGAATTATATTAAATGTTGGATTCAAATATAGTCGTTGTAATATAACTATATATTAAAAATAAATATATAATTTCAATCTCTAATTGTAGCTCTAGATTTTGGTCAACTAAAGTCAAAGGTGTGATAGAAATTGAATTTGGAGACAGAAAAATGCCCATCTCAAAATATCTCATCAATAATTTTGTCTCTTAGAAATGGAATTGAGTAATCTCAGAATTGTACCTGCCCCTAATTTTATCAGTATTCAGTCAACTTAAGTTTGGATAGTCAAAAACAAATTAAAAATAATAAATAGTATTTTATTTTCTTTCAAAATGTAAATTTAAGGTTTTAATATTAGTGTTAAATATTTAGTTCATAATTTGATATTTTTATTATTATTGAAATTATAATAACTATATTCAATTTATATATATATATATATATATATATATATATATTTACTTAAAAATACTTACATTCCACAGTTATTAATTTATATAGCAAATTGAAATAAGAACTTTTGCACTTGGGAAAACAGATTAATCCACCAGACTTTTTTTTTAATATCCTATTTTTTTTTATCCAAATAACTCAGATCCCTTCTTATTTATTCATTTTTCAGCCAAAGTGAGAAATAATAGTGTTCCACTTTCCTTTCAAAACCAACCTTCCTTAGATTATTCCCAACAATCAATAGGACACCATTTTCATCCACACACAAGTTTTTTCGTTCACTCTCAAGTTCTTACTTGGAGTAAAAAATAGGTCAGTCATGTAAATAAAAAAAAGGTTTAGATTATTTGGGTAAAAAAGAATGAGATATTAAAAAAAAAAAAAAA